CCAATTCTCCCTATTTAGGAGGTCCCAATTTTGGGTCCAAATCCCTCTGTTTCTCTTTTCTGTCTTAATGTCCCTCTTTTCTAGGAGCTCGATATTGCTGGTGTGTCTGAGTGTATAACAGAGCACCACAGCAATAATACTCACAGTAAAGTGTCTATAAACAACAATTTGTTAAGAAATCAGTCTGTGTAAATAGGATACAGTGTTGTTCTAAATAAAAATTTTCATTCCATGAATTGCTATTAATAAGTCACTTAACCCCTTAAAGACACAGCTTCAATTATGTGTGCATAATTAGTGCAGTTTAAGGAACGTAATTTAAAATAAATGAGTATAGTTGTTCTGATTTACAAAATATATATTGTGTCTAGGATTTAAAGATTTTTTTGGTAGTTACAGATCACAAAACAGAAGGCGTAAAATAAACTTTTAATGTGGAGCGATTTTAGAATTTGGGATGTTTGTCTTGTAAGCTTAATAACCATAAAAGAAAACAAAATTGCCACACAAAGTATATGTTTATATAAAGTAGAAATCACAGACTATTTACCTAAGGCTATTTTGACACTTTTTTACATAGCCATTTAACCGCCAATCTCTGCTAAATATTGGAGTAAAATTGAGTTTTCTTTAGTTTTTTGACATAAACTTATAACAAAGAACTTCTCATGTGTATTTTGTAAGGTTGGTGTGTGCTATTCCTGTACAAAACTTTATTTTGTGTTCAGCTATATTTGCTTAGTACAACGATATGTCTTTGGCACTATTTTGTGAAGCTACAGTGCCATATAGGAGACCTGTCCATTTCAGTATTTACAGTAGAATTTTGAGAGACGGATTTGATGGGCCTATGCTTAAATTTGGGGTATTACAGCTATTTGACTTAAAAAAAAAAAACCCACAAAGGCCTATCATTTGTAAAAGTAGACACTCCAGGGTATCTCATATGGTGCATATTGTGCTTTAGCATGCCCCCATTATTTTCACCAATATATGTCAAAGTTTGTGGTGACAAATAATTCTTGGCATTTTTTACATATGTATTACATTTTTGCTGGGCATTTTGTATATTTGATATATGCCACTAAGATCAAAGCCCCAAAATTATGCTAAGCTAAGTCTTCTGAGTAAAATGATACCCCCAATGAATGTCTTCGGCATTATTTAGTGAAGCTACAGTGATATATAGGAGACCTGTCCAGTTCAGTATTTACAGTAGAATTTTGAGAGACGGTTTAATGGGCCCATGTTTCAATTTGGGGCATTATAGCAGTTTGACTGTTAAAAACCCCCCACAAAGGCCTACCATTTGTAAAAGTAGACACCCCAGGGGATTTCAGAAGGCATATATTAAACCTTAGCATAGGATAATTTTTTTGCTAGTTTGTACCAAGTCTAGTAGCAATTAGCATTTTTTCTGCCTTTTTGACACACACTTGGAGATGTTACTGTATATTTTGCAATCCTTATGTGTGCTATGGCAGTATAACACCTAATATGTTGCTCAACTATGTCGTCTTAGTACAACAATACCCCCATGTGTATCTTTTTCAGGGATATGTGGATATTGAAGGGGCACATTTGAGACACACCAATTTCATAATTTTCAAAAGTGGATTCTGGGCCTAAGTCTCATTTTAGCAGCTCATGATTGCAAATTACCTCTCAAAGGCCACATATATTTTTAAATATAAGCATCTCATCAATTCAATTTATAAACAAGTGCATACTATTTTCTGTGAAAGGGGGAATATTTGGCGTAAACTTATCAGGGGGTAGTACCCAGTCATCTGCGTCCCGGGCAACGCTGTCACGGATTCCGGAACTATAACACAGACAGACAACAAAGAGAGAAAACACAGAGAAAGAAACTTGTAATACAGGTCCTTAGAATGGCCACCTGTGCAAGCAGAGACTAGTCAAGTTACAAGCTGAAGTCAAAGGAGTAAAGAGAAATGGAACAACGACAGGACAAGCTGAGATCAAGGAACAGAGAAGATAGTATAAATGGAAGACAAAGCCAAGATTCAGTAACCAAACAATCAGACAGATTACTAAAATCAAATCCTAAAATCGGTCTACTTATTCAGCGTGGGTGTGGAACATTTTAAAACAGTGGCCAATACTTAGGCCGGGCTGAGAGGGGCAGACACACACAGACACACAAACACACACACACACAGACACAGACACACATACAGTCTGTATGTATGTGTCTGTATCTGTGTGTCTGTATGTGTGTCTCTGTATGTATGTGTCTGTATGTGTGTCTCTGTATGTATTTATGAATCTGTATGTGTGTGTGTGTCTGTCTGTATGTATGTGTCTGTATGTGTCTGTATGATGCAGACACATACATACAGAGACACACACATACAGACACATATATACAGACACACACACACACACACACACACACACACATATACAGACACATACATACAGACACACACACACAAAATGTTTAAGTCACTCTCCTGTTTCCTACCTTTTGCAGGAGGGTGACTTTCCCTGGTGTCCAGTGGGGTCTCAGCCTGATGGGAGTCAGAGTACCCACTCTGACTCCCACCTCCTTCCTTCCGTGCGGCTCTGTGTATGCTGGGAGGAGTGACCGGGACAGTCACTTCCTCCCAGCTCTGTCTGATATCATCACAGGGGGCCAGGTTGCGCTGTTAAAGTCCGTCATCCAGCGTTAAGTGCTTCCCCAGCATGACTGACCCAGTCTGTCATCCGTCATTAAGGAGTTAAACATCTTAGAACTGCCCCATTCCTGGCCACAACCTCACACACACTACTAAAATTAAAGTGTCTCTCTTTGTCCAATTAAAATGTTAAGAGGCATGCAAAATCTATATTAAAAAGAGCATGTAACTGTGATGAAAGCAACTTCGCCACTGGTTTTTGGAGGGGCCTGTTTGGCAGCTTCTACCCTGGGACTATGGGCCCTGTGATAACCCATGTTTAAAAGTACTATTTCTGCCCCTTGGACTTAACTGGAACAGATTCAAACATGTGGTGGCGGCCATCTTAAATTGTCCAGCAGTGTTTTGTCGTTGAGTGTATGGAACTGTTTTGGGCATGGGACCATGTGCACGGTGGGGCAAAAATAAGACTTCCAGGAAATTCCTGAACCCCTGAACCGATCTGGGTGATTTTTAGATATGTTGTTCACCCAGATCGGGGCTATCAGGCGATTTGACTTTGTGGGGATATGTTGTATTTTGGGGTACTTTTTTGGGTTTGTAAAAATGTTTTTTTCTGCTAAGAGTTCATTAAGTTAGTCCATTGTCTTCGTTAACTAACTCAATTATCTCCCAAGCCGAGGGGATGAATTTACTTTAAATGAATGGGAGTATTTAACTTTGTGACTCTACACTTCTGGCTGTGGAATGCATGTTTCGATGCCCCAGAAGGTCCAAATGGGTGGTAACCTTGTGGGCAAACTTGTATAAAAGACCAAGCTGTTCATTAAACCCTCAGATCTGCTTAACCCTCAATACGTAGCCTCACAGGGGCTTATTTCCCGCGAGGCAAAAAAGGCATTTGCCTTGGGCGGCAAAAAAAGCCACCCCCCAATCACCCAGGCAAATGCCATGCCAGCCTCTTGTCCTGGGTGACCCAGTAGCTAGCCGGGTGGCCTCCTTAGTGCCCCCCAGGCTGGCAGCAGCGGAGCTTTCAGGGCGGGCGGCGAGGGAGCACTAATCCTCCTGTTCAGCTCCCTCGCGTGCACCGCAGTGATGCTGGAGCCAGAATATGACGTCATTCCGGTGCGCGAGGGAGCTGAACAGGAGGATTAGTGCTCTCTCGCCGACTGCACTCACCGGCGGCCGCCCAGCAGCCCCTCTGGACCCCAGGCAAAACGAGTATCCACCCCAGCATTCCCAAAGGTATGGAGGCTGGAGGATTGAATTTAAAAAAAACTAAAAGAAAATGTGAGTGCGTTTGTGTGTTAGTGTGTCTGTTAGTGAGTCTGTGTGTGTGTCTGTTAGTGTGTGTGTCTGTTAGGGAGTGTCTTACTATGTGTGTATCTTTTAGTGTGTATCTGTTAGAGAGTGTGTTAGTGTGTGTGTGTGTCAGTGAGTGTGTTAGTGTGTATGTGTCTGTTAGAGAGTGTGTGTGTCTGTTAGAGAGTGTGTTACTATGTGTGTGTCTATTAGAGAGTGTGTTAGTGTGTGTGTCTGTTAGTGTGTATGTGTCTGTTAGAGAGTGTGTGTGTCTGTTAGTGAGTGTGTTACTATGTGTGTGTCTGTTAGTGAATGTGTTAGTATGTGTGTGTCAGTGTGAGTGTGTGTCTGTTAGTGAGTGTGTTACTATGTGTGTGTCTATTAGAGAGTGTGTTAGTGTGTGTGTCTGTTAATGTGTATGTGTCTGTTAGAGAGTGTGTGTGTCTGTTAGTGAGTGTGTTACTATGTGTGTGTCGGTTAGTGAATGTGTTAGTATGTGTGTCAGTGTGCATGTGTGTCTGTTAGTGAGTGTGTTACTATGTGTGTGTTTATTAGAGAGTGTGTTAGTGTGTTTGTCTGTTAGGGAGTATGTGTCTGTTAGAGAGTGTGTGTGTGTTAGTGAGTGTGCTTCTATGTGTGTGTGTCTGTTAGTGTGTGTGTGTGTCTGTTAGTGAGTGTGTGTCTGTTAGTGTGTATGTTTTCTATTAGTGAGTGTGTGTATGTGTGTCTGTCAGTGAGTATGTATGTCTGTTAGCTAGTGTATATGTGTATGTGTGTCTCTGTGAGTATGTTACTATGTGTGTGTCTGTTAGTGTGTGTGTGTGTGTGTGTCTGTTAGTGAGTGTGTTACTATGTGTGTGTCTGTTAGTGAATATGTTAGTATGTGTGTGTCAGTGTGCGTGTGTGTCTGTTAGTGAGTGTGTTACTGTGTGTGTGTCTATTAGAGAGTGTGTTAGTGTGTTTGTCTGTTAGTTAGTGTGTATGTGTCTGTTAGAGATTGTGTGTGTCTGTTAGTGAGTGTGCTACTATGTGTGTGTCTGTTGGTGTGTGTGTGTTTGCAGGGCCGGTGCAAGGATTTTTGCCGCCCTAGGCAAAAGTAAAGTTTGCCGCCCCCACCCACCCCCCCGTGACATCACAATGCCCCACCCATATGACCTGCCATGTTAACTAACGCTAGTGCTGCAGTGCCGCTGTGTTTACATTAAAAGGCCTGCAGGGACAGGCTATGGACACCAGAACCACTACATTAAGCTGCAGTGGTTCTGGGGACTATAGTGTCCATTTAATGTGAGGTAAATTAGAGATTAGTGCCACGAATAATATACTAGATTGCCTACTTACAACCAGATGAGTATGATGATGGGCTCTAGCTGCAGTCTGGCTCCACTGGTCTGGTGTAGAACAGGCTCTCTGGAGGCGGTTTGTAACTGTGGTCACAAAAATCAATGTTCTGGGAGAACGAGAAGCAGCTCCATTTTTTGGGGGTCCTTTACACAGCTCAAGGTCTGGGACCCAGGGTCCACCTTCATGTTCCACCAATGAGTTTGTTCACAGGGGGTGGAGTGTGTAGGGGATGTCCTGATTTGTGTGTAAGGAATGCATTGTGTGAATTTGTGTTTCTATGTGTAAGGGCTGCAAGGTGTGTTTCTGTGTATGTAAGGGATGAAGTGTGTGAGTCTGTAAGGGGTGCTTTGAGTGTGTTTAAGGGGTGCATTGAGTGTGTGTAAGGAATGCATTGTGTGTTTCTGTGTGTAAGGGATGCATTGTGTGTAAGGGTTGCATTGTGTGTGTGTGTGTAATGCATTGTGTGTGTAATGCATTGTGTGTTTTTCTGTGTGCAAGGGGTTCATTGTCTTTGTGTGTAAGGGGTGCATTGTGTGTGATTGTGTGTGTGTGTGTGATGGATGTCAATCTCTCCCCCCTCCCTTGTCACTCTCTTTTCCCCCCCTCCCTTACTCTCATTCCCCCTCCCTCCCCTGTCACTCCCCCCTCCCTGTCAATTTCTCTCTCCCCGTCAATTCCCCTCCCTGTCAATGTCTCCCCCCTCCCTGTTAGTTCCCCCCCTGTTAGTTTCTTCCCCCCACCTCCCTGTTAGTTTCTTTCCCCCCACCTCCCTGTTAGTTTCTTTCTCCCCCCTCCCGTCAGTTTATTTCTTCCCCCCTCCGGTTTCTTTCTTCCCCCTCCCTGTTTCTTTCTTCCCCCTCCTTCCCTGTTTCCTTATCCCCCCTCCCTCTGTTTGTTTCTTCCTCCCCCCTCCTCCCGGCTTCCTTCTCCCCTCCCTCTCTGTTTCTTTCTTCTCCCCCCACCTCCCTCCTGTTTCCTTCTTCCCCCCCTCCCTCTCTGTTTCTTTCTTCTCCCCCTCCTCCTGTTTCCTTCTCCCCTCCTCTCTGTTTCTTTCTTCTCCCCTCCTCCTGTTTCCTTCTCCCCCCCTCCCTCCTGTTTCCTTCTCCCCCTCCTACTGTTTCTTTCTTCTCCCCCTCCCCTCCTGTTTCCTTCTCCCCACTCCCTCTGTTTCCTTCTCCCCCCCTGTTTCCTTCCTCCCCCTCCCTCCCTGTTTCCTTCTCCCCTCCCTCCCTCCCTGTTTCCTTCTCCCCCCTCCCTCCCTCTCTGTTTTTTTCTTCTCCCCCCTTCCTCCCTCCCTCCCCTACCTGTGTGGTAGCGTGGCCGAGCCCAGTATAGTCCGACCGGTACAGGGAGCTGTTGTTTCCTGTACCCGGCCGGACTAACAGGAAGTGAACACAGAGTGTGCACTTCCTGTTAGTCCGGCCGGGTACAGGAGACAGCTGCTCTCTGTACCGGTCGGACCATGCCATAGAGGGCTCGGCCACGCTACAGAGAGGGAGCTGACAGGTGGGAGCGCTGAGCGCTTCCCTCCTGTCAGCCTCTCTCCTCAGGCTGCGCCCGGGCGGTGCGGTCCGCCCTCATGGACGCACCGCCCGGGCAAAGCTGCAGCCGCCTGAGGCTCAATACAGAGCGCTCGGGCGGCTGCAGCATGAGCGGGGCCGGCGCTCCTGGCGGCGCCCCCTCCCAAGGGGCGCCCTAGGCGGCTGCCTAGTCCGCCTTACAGGTAGCGCCGGCCCTGGATGTATTTACATTTTAAACTAAATATTATGGGGGTTTTTTTATAGCGATTTTTGATTCTTTTATAAACATACTGACATTTCCATAAGAAAAATGTGTTGCCTTTTTTTTTTTTTTTTTTTAAATATAAGCAGTATTCAGCAATACCTGAATTTCTACCCTTGTTTATTATAACAAGTTGACACATTGCAGAAATCCGGTCTAACTGTAGAAGCTGGAGTTACTTCCATGATTTACAGAAACTTATAATATAGCAATTAACTTTAACCAAAACAGATATAACATGGTGTATAGTGCATGGAATGTAGCCCAACACTTGATACACACAAATATAGCGCA